TATACAATCGTTGCATTTGTTATATAATTTTTTAGCCTTGCACAGGTTATAATAGTGCATTCTTATTAGATAGAGAGATGAAATCCCTCTCTACACTTTATCCTGGTTCTATAAAATTTTTTTTTATTTTTTCTCGTTTTTTTCTTTTTTGGGGTTTTTTTTTATTTTTTATTTCGCTTTTTTTTCTTTTCGCTCTTTTGCTCATTTCCCCTTTTTCGTTTTCATTTTTTATAGAATTTTTTTTTAGATAATTTCAGTTATCCGTGATCTGGTAGGACGGAGTCGCTCATAGGTCTGAGTTAGGTTTCACACCGTGATATGGAACCATGTAATGTCAGACTTCTTTTTTGAAATTTATATATTTATAGTTCTTATAAATATTAATAAATAAAATTAGTCATAGCAAAACCCATCGATATTTAAAAAATAATAATAATAATAATAATAATAATAATAAAATGCTAACTAATACTATGCTAATAAATATATAATAACTAATAATATAATAATAATACAATTGATCGAATATACAACTAAAAAGCCAATTAATCAACTCTTTTTAATAATCACTTAGTCCAAATTTTTTTAAAAAAAACTTTTCAACAAAAATAGTAAAAACCAACCTCTTGTTGCTTGTCGTTTAGAGATAGTTCTTATATGCTACCTGTTGACAAGTTTAGAGTTTATTACTCACCAACAAAATTCGAGTAGTGCACTGCCTAGGTGGAAGGCTGTCTTTGTTGTTTTTAGTAACTCACTCTCTTTTAAGTGGTACTATAAGGTCTTTCTTTCGTTTTCGTTTTTTGCTATTCTCACCAAAATTTTCAACAAAAAGTGAGCTTTTTGGCTTACCCCCTCCAAAAGATCAGCATTGTTTACATCTACCAAATTGAGACATACTCAGTAGAAGGCAACCACATGTTTTGTTGTTTTGTGAATACGGTGCTACAGTATGGGGAAGAGATTGTCACCCCTATTTAGAAGATACCCAAGTCAAGTTGGTACCCAGAACAAGTCTCAAAGCTAAACCGAAAGTTTACAATCAAGATATAGTAATTAGTTGCAATTATTATATAATTCAGTCAGGGATATTACCAAATACGGACGATGTTGATCGCATCTTTTATAGTAATAAAATGTAAATCCTAAGATTCTAGAGATTTCTGAAAGAATGGCTAATTGATCAATCAATATATAAGCTCATTTTTTACAAAGCGTAGTATTTCAAAAATTTTCTTTTAAAACCAATTTCTAGTGTAATATTATTATATTAGATCTTTTGTATATTACCCAAACAATAAAAACTTCTAACTTTTTTTTTTTTTTACAATATTCTTAAATTTTGAACGAAGCCATAGAACTACTACCGTTCAACTGTACTGAACTAAAGGCCAACTTGAAATAATATACAAGCACAGACATAACTAAGAAGCTACCCAAATTTTATATGCCAGAGAAAAACGGCTACTCTTGACTTGAAAATGTCTGCATTTCTAACATTACTATAACGAATTAACCATATAGCTTTCGATATTTGGGCAGTTTCACAATTTGAATCCTTTTAGTAAAAGGAGTCAACTAATATGATCTATTTGAATATAAGAAATTACAGAATTAAGGTGTATGGGTTAACTTAGTTGTAAAATAAATGATATATATTTAGTTTAACTGTTTATTTTTTATACTACTTTTAGATATAACATAATTCTAGAATTGAATATTTTTGTGAACCAAATTTTATTAAATTCTTTCTTTTTTAACTTGAATAGTTTTTATTACTGTATAAATACATTGAATTGATCAATAAATATGTTATTTTTCTAACCCAAAATTCGAATTCACAATAGATTATAAAATTTAATAAATTACTCTTGTATAATAAATTACAATACAATAAATTACTCTTGTACAATAAAAAAATAAAATTACAATACAATAAAAAAAAAAATAAGTAAAAAAATATCGAGTTGAATTAATTCAATAAAAAAAATAACTTGGATTTAAATTCAACAACTTTCAATTTCAGATGGTTGATTCAAAACCCTAACTTGAACCAGCATGTTCTACTTCACCCGCTCTACTCATCAGATTTTCTAAACTTTTAACATAATCACAATTGTTAAATTCATTATTTGAATTAATTAAAGATCTTACCTCTTCCAATATGGTCAACAATTCATGACGCTTTTTAGATTGAATTCCACGATATTTTTTCTAAGAATTCTCATCTGCATGTTCAAGAAGTGCTTCTATTTTGCAAATTATTTCTGCATTTGTTAAAGATGCTTCACTAGTTTGCGCCATAGCTTCTTGTTTAGTAATCAGGATTGGCCTAAATAGAGGTGCTGAAACATTATTAATAAAAATATTAGTAATATATTCATATCAGGCTTGCTTGACTAAATTAGTAAAATTCATCAATTGTGAACTTAGTTCATATTCTTTACCCAAACTCTTATAGGTAGTTCTTAAACCTATTGTTGGATTAATGAAATTATCTTTTCTTAGATGGGCTCGAAATCTCTGGCATTCTGTAACAGCTTCTGGCTGATTCCTTGAACCAGTCGTCTGAAGATCGTTATATTCAATCAAATTAAAGAAGTTATTTCGCAACTAAATATCAAAATATAAATTAATGAAGCCAAATTTTAAATAAACAGGTTGTAAGTAGTTACATATACCTAAAGAAACTTCTTGCAATTTTGAGCAGCAATTTTCCAATGTCATATTTGCAGAACGGGTAGTATCAATGTCTTTAAAGCCTTATTTATTTTTTTCAAGATAGCATCTAATCCTTGATACTGGTTAAAGAATCCTGACCGAGAAACCACACAATTCTTCTCTATAATATCTCGTATTGCTGGATCAAGCTGTATAAATTGTATCTCATCATCAATTTCTATTTAACGATATATCGGATGCCTTCGTGCGAACCATATTGGAGAAAAAATCCTTTTTGCAGCTCTTTTTAATAATGGATTATTTTCTCTAATTGCCGTTCTATAATTAATAATGGCTTGCAGATAGACAAATATCTATTGTAAAAAAAAAAATTAGTTAATATTTATCATATGATGTTAAACTGGCAAAATAAATAAAACTAATAAAAGATGTTAAAAACTGATAAATGAAAGCAAGAGGCGGTAAAACTTTCAAAAAACATTGAAATGAAAATAAATGCGGATATTATTTCAATAAATAAATATCGCGGCTGAAGCTCAAAATGGCTAATGCTGGAAATTTTAATTATTTTAATATGAAATTTTCAAAAAATTTTTGGGCCTTTTGTTAGAGGGTTTTTTTAAGATTAGATTAGAGTTTAGGTATAGTTTTAATAATAAAGAGTATAAGTAGATTTTAGTAGGGTTTATGTTTTTAAATCAAGGTCCCTAATTTCTAGCTTCAGCCGCGACAATAAATAAATTCTACCTGTTCGAATTTGGTCTGATAAAGCAAGTCCTTTTGCTCTTTTACCCAGGATAGATAACTATCTACTGATAGAATAGAATGGCTTTTAACATATAGCCAGACTAGTTCCATGGCCATAGCCTGGTAGTAAATATTGCAGACCGAATCTCATGCTTTATAGTGATCGTGGCATTTTCTAAAATAATTTAGCTGATTTTCAGACTTGTATTCTTGAGTTACTGCAAAGCGTTTAAAGTTGATACTCCTATTTTTAAGCGATTAAAAATATTAATAAAAAAAAATAAAGCATTTAAAAAAATATAAATATACCAATTCAATTCCACATATGCACGAAGCATATTTATTTCCTCATGCAATTGTCCAGAAACAAGAACCAACCATGGATATTTCGCCTTTATTTTGCCCATTCTATGATATGGAATGCCGTCACAAGATACAACTACCCATTTATATATTTTATTCTTAATTCCTACAATATTTTCAATATGAAGAAGAACTTTTTCAACATTAGCAGTTGAATTTGGATTAACATCAAGAGGGTCGGGGATGAAGATTTCTGGAACATTAACCTCTTGATCGGCAACTGTTTTTTGAGTAGTACTAATTCTTGATGCATTAGAACGTTGAGTTTCCTTTTCAACTTTATACGATTTAAATATAATTGGTTTGTCTACTATATTTTTACCTACTACTACTTCTTCTTCTTTTGATATTTCTGCTAATGTAGGTAGACGTGATTTACACTTAGAACATGTCTGCTTCCGATTATCAATATTTTTTTTCTTCACAACTAGGGCACCGTTTACTACAACAACTACTTGAATCTATATTAAATGCAAGTGAATCAATTGTGTTAGTTGCGGATGATTTTTCTTCACACAACAGACCAAGTATTTCAAAAATATAATTATGTAATTCTTGGTCTATAACTTCTTGCATTTCAGATAAAGTATCGAAAAGGCTTTTATATTGCGATCTATTTAGAGAATCAAAAGCCCAAGGATTATTAGTATATTGAACATAATCGTGAGAGTTCATATTAAAAGCAACAAAGCTAGTGATAATATGAAATGTGACTGTATTAAGTCTACGGTCTAGGTAATTTTTTTGCCCTCTTTGCTCATTATTAATGCTAAGAATAAAAGACCTTTTGGTAGAATTTCCTCTTTTTTACCTAATTTATCTAACCAATTCTGAAACCTAGAATAACTCTCCGAGCTTGTTATATGATTATCGACATTAACAATAGTCTTTGATCGTGCAATAGAATATTTAATGGCTGATGCTGTGAGACCTATTTCCGAAACGTATTTTCTATGCCTAGATCCATATACCAAATCAACTGCCATAGCTCTTTTAAAAAGTTTTTCATTGCTTTCAGAACCTATATCAAAATTATTACTGGTTAGTGTTTCAATAAATTTCACGACAACTGGATTATATTGACTTAGCCATAATTGTAGAGTATAGTTTAATAAATTTTCTAGAGAAAATCTATTATTATTTCTAATAAGAGCCTCGACATCATCATATAACGATACTCGTTCGATTAGTGCAATATCTATAATGGCTTGGATATGCTTATACTGATTATCATAACGAGAATTCCACTGCTCAGTTAGTTTCTTGTTTGCTTCAAACTGTTCTTGATATGCTTCATACCGCTCTTGATATGCTTCAAACTGTTCTTGATATAACTCTTCAAATTGTGCCATCACGTTATGACATTCTTCAAGTTGTATGTTTAACTTAGATATTACTCTATTCTTATTTTCCACTTGCCGTTGTAATTTTGTAATTATAAAATTATTATTTTCTACAATTTTTTCAAACTCTAACAAATGGAGTGATACGTCGTCGGCGACTATTTCAACATTATTAGGACTAATATCAAGCCAGAATCTTTCACCAGCACTGGAAATATCTAAAAGATGTTGGTAAAAGAGATTATTAACAATAGTTTGATTATAATAATTAACACAAATAGAAAATTGAGAAAATTCTCGGTCTCTAAGTTCTGGTATGAAATCTTGAAAAGCATTGAGCTTTTTAGTCGCTGCTGGACCATTAGCCTTTTTCCAATGTCCTAATCTTGACATTCCACAAACACTTAAACCTAGATCATTATATTTACTAACTAGATCAATAAATATATACGGAAGTTCTTTTACTTTTAGTTCTTGCTTGGCTGGCGAAGACTGTGACATTTTTTTTTAAATATTAATTAGCTGGTATTTAAAAAAAAAAAAGTTTAATATGTTGGTTTTAATGAGTAACTTTATGTTTCATTTACCTTTTTTAAAAAAATGGATAACAAATGGATCTTTACGGATTATTAATCTAAAGGCTTTTTAATAGAAGTTCATATATTGTTTAAGTATATTAAATATCGCTAAAATGCAAAAATTTTGGCTTTAAAAAGGACCGTCAAGAGCCAATCAAATCTTGCGAATCGTTAGTAGATTATTCCAGAAATATTCTAGAACCGAAATCCATTTTTGGTAATATCTCTGACTGTAATTTTTACTCTTATACCTAGTATAGACTATAATGTATGTTATGGCTATTGTTTTTTTTTTCGCTTTTTTCATCTTTGTTCATTTATATTAGACTATTTTAGAATTTGTTAAAAAGTTTTTTTTTTCCTACTATGAGGTGTTTTTTTTTTTTAATAATTTGGCAGTTATGCTTTAACTTTATTGAGCTTTGTACAATTTATCTAAAATATATAAAATTTTACAACTGAGTATTTCAGAAGGTAAGTGATAAACTCTTAACTTGTTATCAGATAGTATATAAGAACTATCTCTAAACAACAAGCGCTATAGCCCAAATTGTTATCTAAATTACAAGTTAAGACTAACCCGGTTACCAACTTGGTATCTATATTTGACCTGCTATAGTAGGATTTTCCTCTTTCCAGACCTCTCTTGCAATTGGATATGATCCAGATCTTAACAGATAGTACCTACCACCCATCATGACCATCTCTCCCTTCTTTTAGACTTCTTCTACCTAAGCTTGACAACATAATTAAACTTTTACTTGTACATAAAAGTAAAAAAAATAAAGCTATATTTATAAAAGACATAAACATTTTAAAAAAAAAAAACACCT